TACATGTATTATTATTGCATCGAGTTCACGATCTCATATAAATAATTTACTAGTCATAAATTTAATTTATTTCGTTTCATATTATAATATTCGAGATACTTTAGAACTATCAGACTAAATTAAATTTAATTAAAAATTACTTACCTATTTTGTAATATCTATTTTATCTTTAATATTTATACCACAATATTAAATTGTATGACATATATATATATATATATATATATTAAAATTATTAATATGAATGGCGTCATAATGATAAAAAATAATACAATCTTACAAAAAAAAGAATAAAAATAAAAAAGAATCGGTTTCGGAATAATTTTTTGCTTTTCTATTACTTTGAATTAGAAAAAAATTTTCAAAAATAAACGAATTTATCCAAAAATATTTGTGCATAATAAGTCTATTAAATTGCAGCATAGATAATAGATATAATAAGATTTTTATGTCATATTCAATGAATTATTTTAAATTTTTTGCTAAACTTTTATGTTTTGTCTACGATATCTCTATACTTTGGTTATGTTTCTATATTTATTATATGTATGTATGGTTATATGTATAATGGATAATTCGCAAACATAGGGACTAATAACGTGAACAATAATATAAACAATAATAACGTCTGTTTCTTTCTTAAGTAAATATAAATATTTTAAATAATTTAAAAAATTATCCATGCATATGAACATATTTTATCTGCATATAATTATATAAAATATAATATTTTAAGGCTCGGGTTCAAAATGGAGTAACATTTTTCATAATTTTATATATAATTTACTGAATACATAATCCTAAAGTATAATAGTAATAACGTACTAATTGTGATTTTCTGAATATTATTATTATTACAACATGTTCTACAAGATAGCGGCGGCAGCTTTGTTTTCATCTGGTACGGCAAAATATAGTTTGTTTTTATTTTTATCTATTTTTTGCCTTTAGGTTTTTTTTTGGTGTTTTATTATTATATTGTAACTCACGTGTATGTATAATATGTGTGTTCATAGGTGATAGTTCACACGATTTATGACGATTAACTATTTAAATATTATAAGCATTGCTGATTAAAGTACACATATAATAATTGATACATTTCAATTCGTCGATTTTCGATATCTTACAGTTACATGTTATACAACATTGAAATATATAAACAGATTTCTTTCTAATTATTAATCAAAGACATAAATTAATGAAATAAATCTTTTGTTTTTGGAAATATATAAAATTCTACATTTTATAATAATTATTTGAAATGTTTTTTTAGAGAAAAATAAAATTTAAGTACTCAAGTATTATTTCACTTGTTTTTATATTTTTCTGAAAAAATAAATAAGAAAATTTATAACAAATTATTGAGAAAAATTTTATATTTCTCGAAGATAATCTTTGTTGTATTTTTGTACTTCAAATGTAGATTTCGAAATTCTCTTATTACAATTCTTACAAAAAAAAAAAGTTTGAATATTTATTTTTTGTTTCAAAATATAAATACATTTAAACAATGTTTACACAAAAATAGCATAATGAGTAATGTTCAAATATTTTTATAATATTGACCTTAATATTATCAGTGCAAAACTTGCGAATCATTTAATTATAATGTCCATTTTTAAAAAGTATCTATTACTGTTTTTTAACATCGAAAAAGCTCGAATTTCGAAACGTTTTTTTCTCGAATATCTTTTTTATTTTTTATTCGGGCACATCGATATTTCAAAAAGCATTTTTTTTTTCTTTTTCTTTTTTTTTCTTGCTTAAATTTTAAGTAAAAATTTTTCTAATATATCTTAACTTTATGTTTATTATTATTATTTTTTAATAAATTTTTCGATTTATCAGCATAATTATTCATGCGACTGAAGCGATTTATTTTGAGCTTCTTAATGGATTGTCGATAATACGAAAGATCGAGCTGATAAGTTGATCTTTTGATCTAGAAAAATGCATATAAAATAGGAATGTAACACATAGTTTTTTCAACACGTGGAGTCAAAGTCCTTTTTTTTCTTTCTTGCATATTAAATCGCACAAATCTTATTTTGTAGAAACTGAAAAATCATATACTAGTGTTATTATAAAATGCTTATTCTCTTTATCTTGGCACACCAGTAATTCAATTAGCTTAGAATAGAAATCCAAGATTGGGCAAACTTTTGAATTTTTTTTTTAAAATTTGAACTTGATGAAAACACTCTTTCATAAGGTATGATATAAAATATATATATATATAGAGCAAGAAAAGAAATATAATAAATCGTGCAATAAGGTTTACATTTAAGGAACTTATTATTAATTTGCCCATTCTTGTTATAGATATCAATGTATACTTGGACGGGTTCGAGACAGCGCGATTTTTTTTCATATAAATTCCATATCAATTCGGATATGTTTTTAATCGATTATGATCCTTTTTAATATGTAATTTAATTTAACTCATAACTTGACTATTTGTATTTTCTATTTATATAGTAAATAAAAATTGGAGCACTACCTCGAATCGCAACGATCCAGTACACTTATTTTATATAATTTATTCTTAATTACTCTTAATCGCACAATGTGGCACGATTATTGATATAACTTAAATTTACACGAATTGGACTTATTCTTACAATTTCTCAAATTTATATTTATACATAAATATATATTTATATGTATATATATATGGCCACTGCTTCATTTAGAATCACATTTAATCATTCATCGCAGAATGATATAAGTCAAGTTCAATGAAAAGACAATGAGTGATACTCTGTATTGTTCTTTTCTTATGTTTAAGTTTTTTTGTGTTTAATTCATTACAAAGCAGCACGCTGTTACTCGCATTTAGCGAATACTGAAAGGAAGAATACAATTGATGTAAAACAATTATTTATACAATTTGTTTTTTAGGATAAGAATCCTTTTATAATTTTATAAATGCGCTATTCTTTAACAATTTAATTTATGCACTTTCAAATGTAATAGAAACACCGATATAGCTTATTGCTAACTGTAGATACAGAGACTTCTCTCGCTCATTAGGTCGATAATATATCTCACGCTTCAATTTGATAAGTATACAATGTCTTTTTCTAGAAAAACATTTTTATTTTATTTTTTTTATTTAGTTTGCTAAAAATGATTCTGCCAATCAAATTTATGATTAACTGAATTTGTTAATCCAATTATATATATTATATATAATTTTCAAGAGCGATCATCATTATTTTAGATTTTCAATATTTGAATCTTCATGAATTATCAAGATCTTTCTTCATAACATTTATGTTATATTATTCTATTAACATAATTATTAAGTTCAGAATATCCATATATATCAAATATGTAAATATCAAAAACAATGCACAAAACAATGTTAATACTTATTGTTCGATATTCAAAGTGTTCATATAAATATTAAAGATATAAATAGATTGATAAAAAATGAAGATATATCGAAAGAAATTTCTCATATTTCTCTTTCATTTTTTTGATCACTCTTGTTAAAGAAAATTACATTTTTTGAAATTATGTCTATATTTTGTACAATATTATATGTCGAATTATGCTAAATATAGTTTTGTTGAATATTAATAATAGGAAGCGCGAAGCATAAATGAACATAATAGAAAAAAATATTTTCATTTTCATTCTTGAAAGCATAATACCTTTATGCTTGTAAAACAAGGAAGTTGTATAAACGAAGAGTGATATTCACAGTATAAATATCAACTGTATGATTTTATACTGAAATTTCATATGAAGCAATACATATTCTTTTTTGTCTTTTAATTCATTAACAAATGTCTCGAACCATATTTTATTTTTAATGATTTTGAAAGAAAAATGACATTATATTAATGTATAAGAAATCATAAAATATACCTTTGATGAATCATATACATTAATATCTAATACTAATAATCAAATAAAAATTTCCAAATGCCATGTATAGAATAGCCAGAAAATATTATCAATACATCCTTTTAAACGAAATATTTGTTATTAATTTATTCAATTTTTCTTAAAAATATATTATTAATATGATATTTTTTTAAGAAAAATTGCTGTCGATTATTTTAAGAAAAAATTCTCTTCATGTTGTTTTTCTGAAGTTGATTTAAAAGAGTCCTTTCTTCTTATTCTTCTTATCCTTACCATCGACAGCCCTGAAAAGAATTATAATGTCAATAGAAATAAGTAATTCTTGAATTTATTAAATGACTTATAGTGTTAAAATAAATTTTAAGATTTTATATTTTTCATTTATTTTATATAACTATATTGCTAACTTCCAATATTGTATAATCTAATTATTACTGTATAACTTATTATTCGTAAAAATACTAATATTAGTAATATTATTATTTAATCTTCAAATATTCATTACATTAATATATATCCATTTTATGAAAAATAATATAATTGTACTTTATTATGTAAAGTACAATTTTATTACGAAACTCACAGTTCAAAATAAGTACTGAAATATATCCATTAATTATAATATACATATATATGTATAATTCAGTCATGCTAAAATCATGCTTTGAGAAATATAAATTTTCATGGGCTATGACCATCAAGCCACATGCTTTCTACGAATTATTTTATTCTCAATTTTAAGTGTTAAAAATTTCTTCAAATATAAAATTTCTTCTATATAATATAATATAATATAATATTTCATTTTTCAGATTAAACTTTCATATTTAATTTTTATATTCAAGTTATTATGTCAAGTTATTAATCACTGCAATAAAACTTATAAAATAAAAGGATAGATTAGATTGATAAAATGATATATATTTAATATATTATATCCAAATAAGATATATTTTTTATTTGTATACTTAATATATAATGAAAAATTTTTGTATATATAAAATTACTATTTTTCATAGATATTTATATGTCACAAAAATACATAATGCGAAAAAGCATAATAATCGAAATATGTTAGACAAAAAAAATATTTGTCGCATTTTATATTTCAAAGCCACATTAAAAAAAGCAAATGATACTTTTTTATTGCTTATTGATTTCTTTTACATTGCTTATTCGCAATAAGGCTAAATAAAATAAGGGCGACCAAAATGGTTAGTAAATATCTTAGAAAAGCATTACGTTTATTTGCAAAAAAAAATTAATGATGAAATTAACAATGTATAATAATTATTTGTGAGTAATTATTATTATTGATCATGTATACTATTACCCTTTATCAAGCTGTCTCTTATTCGAGTTAAAATGATTTGAAGAACCACATCTAGAAAGAAATGTTACAACTTTTATGCAAACGGAATGTAAAGACATGCGAATGTATTAATGAAAAAAAGTAAAAAAATGAAAAAAAAAAGAAAAAGGAGCAGACAGCTTGTTCAGAGTTTACAATAGCTTTCCATAATACTCTACAAAGTGTGAATGTTATTTTGAATTCATATAAGATAAGTTATGTATAATAACGCATGTTGCTGTGAATAAAATAGCGATATCCATAGGAATATAAATCTCTTAAATTGCATAAATTTTATCAAATTTTGTGCCAAAAATATAAGCCTTTAAATGTATCTGTAGGGCTAACGTAAGAATATTATAAAAATTTTTCGATATGGATATCTTCTTTTTGCTATTTTTTTATTCTAATTTTTAGCATTTTTCGCAACATAAAGTCTATTCCTCTTTTCTTATTTTTCTATAATTAAACATTATTAATTATAAACTTATTTAGCGTGGTGCAATTTCAATTCTTTTATAATTAGATAAGCGTTCATATGTAACAGTGATAATCGTAAATGATTATTTCATTTCAGTTTGAGTTTGAATTCATGGTGATTATTATTTCACCATACTATGAATTCACTATATGATTATAGTGTTCAAGAATATTTTTGAAAATTTTTGAAAATTTTAGAAAAAAAATATAAATAATAAAAATAATTATACCAAAATTGAAATATGTCTAATATTTTTCTCGCAATAGTTTTAAGTAATATAGTTTTCAATGCTAACATATTGTTTTAATCATAAAACAAATATGATATAATCAAAAAATTGGAGACAGAAAAAATACACAAATATTCATTTAATGTATAAGTAATTAAATTCTGTTCAGTACGTGTATACACATCGTATATCGATATAAATCATCAATAAAATAAACACACGCATCAAATGTATAAAAAATGAGATCGACGTTAATATTTCTAAAGATTTTAGTCCTTGGACACAGCAACGTAGATGCATTTTGTAAGTAAATGTAGACAGATTCTACGCTCTACTAAGGATGCTCGGGATGTTGTATGACAAGCTGTATCTGTGTAGGGCTGTCTTGAGGTGATTTGAAACTGGTGTGACGGCGTAGGAGACTTCCTATCCCTCGGGAACCCCTCAACGTACCCCCGCCACCGCCAGATCCCTCGGAAGACACTGATCCCGTCCTAAATTAAGGGACACCCCGATATGGTATACACACAACAAACAAACAAGCGCAAGCATCACATAACATTCGTCCGTAAAGAAGCTTTCTTAAATTTATAAATACACCAAAGTTTATTCTTTACAATGCATCAGACATTCAGTAATAATTTAAAATAAGCGTTTCAAATGTAATTTTACGATTTAAGTACTCATAATACATAATAAACATATATAAATGATATCATTTTTTTAAGTATTCAATAAAAGAGCAAAATTATATAAGCAAAATTTGAGGAAGCAATAATGTTAATATTTTTAATATTTTATAATTATAATTTTATAATTATAATTTGAATCATTTATTATAAATAAATGATTGTTAACTAATAATCTTCAAAAGAAACAAGATTATTAGGGAATATATTAAATTACGTTAAATTAATATTGAATGAATGCATGTTTAATTAACTTTAATTAAATTCAGGCAAAAAGTGACATTATACATGCTTATTAATAGTTATTAGTAATTTCCTGCTATTAGATTAAGCTATTAATGTAGTAATATTTCTATATAACTTTTGAAAAAAAGTTTATAGTAAATAAATTTATCAAAGAGAAGTATGATAATTATAATTAAGATTAGTAATAATCAAATAAAATACAATTATTATAAACTCATTATAAATGCTTATATTGCACATTTTTAATTGAATTGTTTTTTTTAAAGCAAAGATTTAAGCAATTTAAAAATATTTCTAACGAAATATTATATTCGCAAATTATTTGTTTTGATATATATACAGCTTAATAATGCATTACTGCCCATTTCCTCAATTACATAAATATAAAGCTAATTTTTGTAATTTACAAAATAATTTTCCGTGCAAGAAGCGTTTTTGTTCTTTATATTTAACATAAATAACGATATTTTTGTAATATAAATGTTACAAAAATATAAACAACTAAAAGCAATTATATTTAAGCGATACTTACTCTTTTGAATTTGCTTCTAGGCTGCGCCTACGCAATTCTTCAATACTGTGACCAGTCTGTTGTTCCCATGCTAATTTTTCAGCCTCAAATGCTCGTCTCTTTTCTTCTAATTCACGTACTTGTTGCTCCAAAGAACGTCGCATTTGTTCGTGCCTTCTTTGTAACTGCAGATTAATTATTTTTCTAATTAAAACAATTTCTTCCTAATATTTAGTCAAAAAATACTTACATCTGCTTCTGAATCTTTAAGTTTTTGCTTCTTTTCTCTAACTTTCATTTCAAATACTTGTTCCATATCAATTTCCATTTTTTTCATTTTATTATCATGTTCTCTTTTTTCTTCTTCCAATTGAGCTAGTGGATTCCTATAAAACATGTGAAAATTCAACATTGATAAAAAAATAATATAAAATTTTATATAAAAATAAATATTTTGTAAAAATTGTTTACCAACCAGTTAGATTATAATTTTTAGAAGATGATCTATCTACATATGTATATGGAAGATTGCAAAATTAAGATATAATAATATTTTCACAATAAATATAAATTCAGCGAAGATGACAAAATTAGAATCACAAAAGAAAAAAAGAGTTTATTAAAACTAACTAATATGAAATATAGAGTAAAATTAAGCGAATTTACATTATAATCAATGATACTAAAAAAAAAAAAAAAAAAAAAATAAAAATAAAAATAAAAATAAAATACTAAGGAATACTAAATAATAAGGATTTTTACTAAACTGAAAATAATGCAATCTACATATTTGAAATAAATATTCAATCAGAGGATTTATTATATATACATATATATATATATATATCTATATAAAATTATATCAGAAATATTATTAATATTATTATAATATTATTTTTTTGCTTTCTTGAATAAATTTTTCAATATATTTATTTTAATTTTTCAATATAATATTTTAATATATTATTATTTTTTTAAATCTTATTATATTTTTAATATATAATATATATTTTTTATATATATATATATATATATAAATGAACTCTCTTTTAAATAAATAAATTCGCATAAAATTAAATAGAAAGAAAATGAAAACTAAATGAGAGGCTTGTGCACACAAAACTATATTACATGATCCCAGTCTTGTTAAAAGACTTACCATACTGTCATGAAACTGTTCATCACTCCTGGAGGGCACAAACTAACCAATAAGAAATTAGCATTAAAACTTACGTATGAAATATATTATTAAAAAATATATTTTCAGGATCACTTTTGTTTCTATCCTAAACTATAATATATTTTAATTTGTTAATATGATAATCTGATTCAAATACGTCTTAGATGTAATTTTTATTTTTTAATAGTTTGCATGCACAAGCTTTTTAAATTATCGTAATAAAAAAAATAAAATAAGAAACTAATAAAACTACAAATATTTATATTTGCAAAAAAAAAAAACAAAAAAATTACATATATAATCATTATGTTTTATGGGATTTTTTCAAATATTAAAATTATTCTTATGTTATAATATTTTTTTGTATCCTATATTCTTATGATAAATTTTACATTTTTTTTTAATAATCTCATATTTTAAATAAATATAATTTTATAGAATTTTTATATTTACATCCGACACAAGAATACACTTACTTATTTGAAACTTTTGTTGGTTTCCCATCTACTCCAACACCTGCTAACGTGCGACATCGGAAATTTTCATAATGTACGTTATTTGTAACATCTTTTAGATCTTGTAAGTGTGTTCTAATAACCATATTTCGTAGTGCTATGAAGTCACAATGCTCCAAATTTTCCACTAAACAATCAAAATGAAAAAAAAATTTGTTTAAAATTTAAAAAAATATTTAAAGCATTTATATTAAAAACTATTTTCAAGTATCCAAAATTATATACCTTCTGCAATTCCCCAAGGATATTTCCTTCCACGAACTTTCCTACCATCATGTTCAACCACGGTATTTGCACCCACTACCGCAAACGGTACTCTTTCTCTAAGAACTTTATGCAATTTACTTTCCTCTTCTTCTTCTACTTCTGGGAATTCGTAGATTTTTATTTTATGTTGTGCTATTTCGTTCAAAATCTAAACAACCAACAATAATTGATTTTAAAAATGTCCAGATAAGATTTTCTTTTTTCTTAAAAATTGATACATTTAATACATTTATATTATATAAATGATTTTTATTCATGATGGATCGGCAATAAATATTTATATTAGAATAAATAAATCAACAGAAGTAACCTTAATTGCACGTTGATATGTGATTATAATTAATTTAAAACGAACCTGTTTCTTAAAATGAGCACATTCGTCTGGCGTCATGGTATCTGCCTTCGCGATGACAGGTATAATATTAACTTTGTCGTGAAGACGTTGCATGAACTCTACATCCAACGGCTTTAAGCCATGCCCTGAAGGAGCGACGAAGTAGAGACAACAGTGTACTCGACTGTCTGGAATCTGTCGTCTCACAACACGAGACTCGGCATTCAGGAACTCCTCGTATTTGGATTCAATATATTCGATTACTGGTACCCAACTGAAAACAAGAATAACTTTAATTTACTAAGTTTTTATATATCATTATATGATATTAATTTTTATTATATGATATTATTATATGATATTAATTTTTATAATATCGCAATATATAAATTTATTAAAATATTCCATATAATTTATCTCGGTAGTTTTACTTTGATAAAAGATGTTTGTAATTTATAATTAATAAATAAAAAAAAATAATATAAATTACCAATTGCTGTTATCAACTGCATCACCAAATCCAGGTGTATCAACAACAGTCAGAGTAAGATTCACACCATTCTCTTTTAACAATACTTTACTAGTCTCTACGGCTACAGTTTTTTTAACTCTAAGGCTAGGGCCAGGATATTCGGCACTATATATATCGGCGAGGAACATTGAATTGATCAAGGTTGATTTTCCTAGTCCTGATTCACCTAAACAAGTATATAAAAAGATTATTATTAATTATTAACATACAAATTATATAATTTAGTTTAATTATTATATTAATTGGTATATATAGATAAAAATATTTTGATATACAAATATCGCATCTTAATGCTTTTTTAGGAGATAGTTTGAAATACCAAACGGTACCCTGACCTTTCTGTCCGGGTACCTTGAACTGACCGAAGTGCCGCGCCTTCTCTCCCTCAAGGATAAGCGTTTGAATTGCTCTATTTACAGAGAAATGGTTCTGTTTATACCAATACTAATAATAGCAGCATTCCGCCTATATTCTCGAATTTCAAACTTTCATCCAGAAAGACGAGATCTAGTGTAATAATTTTCTCGCAATTGCATTCTTAATTCTAAAATAGCTTAATAATAAATATTATTATGTAATAAATATAATATATAAATATGAGTTTAAAATATATCACATAATAAATTAATGAGAATTTTCATAATTGATAACATAGAAAATGTCATTTCATTGATTTTTATAGAAATCAACATTTTGAACTTTTTTCTATATATATATAACCGCCGCTCAACTTTTTGAGATATTTGTTATTAATATATAGAATTTCACTTATACATTATATGTATCTGTAATAATATATGTACCAAATAAAATTTTTCATTTATCAGAATTTTTAGAATTAAAAGAAAATTTTATTTATTTTTTTTTAAATATTTATTTTTAAATATTTATTTAATATATGTATAGTAAAGTAATAAATTAATTTTAAATTAATGAATATGATGTTTTAAATTAATGAATATGATGTTTTAAATTAATGAATATGATAATTTTAAATTAATGAAGATGAGAATCACTGCTACTTGAAGACAACCCTAATTCAGTCGAGTTTTGCACGTGTTAAACAGATGGAAGTTCATAAGGATAAATATCTTGAATAAAATTGAAATACCAACTGGAAAAGCGGATCTCTTTTTGTTTTTTAATTTTGAAAGTTAAAGTATAAAAAAAAGTTTCTATTGTATAATTATTCATATAATAGGCATTAACAAAAAAACCATTAACAAAAAAAAAAGATATAGGAAGTTATAATATAAATTTATTAGACCTTTTTGAAAAAATGAATTTCTTTTTAAAATAAATGAAATTCTTTTTGCCCATTCTTTTCTCTTCATGATAATTATATTTTTAATTATTATTTTTCTCATTGACACTTATATTCCTTTTTAAATTTCATATATACATATATAAAAATTATGATAATTATCTATCGATTATATTAAAAAAAAAATATAATCTATAATATTGATCATTGTTTTTAATCATTGATTCATTATTTCAAGTGATATCATTTCACAATTTTACATTTACATGAAGTATCATTATAAAAAATCAAATATATAATGAATAATTGTTCAAAACCAATTATTATTCATTATATCAAAAATTCTACGCCATATTATCTAATTTTTCCCTTCATAAATTCGACAATTTAATCAATATTGATTTTAACAGTCCTTTTGTTTTAATTTTAAACAAAAAGTAAATATTTAAACAAAAAAATAAAATGTGTAAAAAATATATTTAAAAAATTATATTTAAAAAAAAATCACGCAAATAGAAATAAGATCAAACTAACCGACGACCATCAGAGTAAAATCGAATCCTTTCTTAACAGCTTTTCTATAAACTTGGTTGGGCAGATTCGCGAATCCCACATAACCATCGAGTTCTTTGGGCTTAGTTGGCGGCGTTGGTCGCGGATGATGAAGGACAGCAGTCTCCTTGTTCTCGCTATTTCGATTTGACTCCCGTTTATTACTGTCCTCTGATGCATCGTTTTGATTTAGGATCACCGTGGACGGAGGTAATCGTGGCTTCGAGGTAGGCGCCGAAGATGTGACGCTTGTGTACACGGTCGAAGAGGTTGGCGGTGCTGTGTTAGGCGAAGCAAGTGTGGTGGTTGTCGTGGTCGTCGTCGACGACGTGCTCGTCGACGATGTGCTCATCGACGTCGGAGCCTGCGACGGAGGTTGTGGAGGCGGGACCGATGGCACAGATGGAGACGATATTATTCCGGCGTTATCGCCTTTGAAGAATAACTCACGCTTCGCCTGTATCTGCAAATAAAAAATAAATAAATATATATATATTTTTAATCACAATTCGTGATAAATGTATAAAAATTTGTTTTTTAATTTGTATTATAAATAATTGAACGGAATGAAATAAAAACATAGATATTTATACTGATTGTAAATTTAAAATTATTAGCTTAAAAATATTAACTAATAAAAATTATTAATTAGAAAATAAGGAAATTTAAAGTGTGAATTAAATGAAATGTATTAAAAAAAAAAAATATTGTCCATAGTAATTTTTATATACTTTGATAATTAAATTACAAAAAATTTCAAATTATATTTTTCAATTTGAAAATAAGAAAAAAATTGAAAATATATAAGTAAAAATGAATATAAATGTTATTGTTCATTCTCGTATTGTATTTATTTAGAAAATGATATTGATATGTTATACGTAAAAATATAAATGCCATTTAGACTTATTTTGTTTGCTACTCTGATCTACTTTTTTTTTTCAACGAATCAGAATATATATACAATTTGATTCAGTTTCATTCTTCTTTCTGTTCATATATATACAATGACATATAACAATTGTTTCTAGAATGCTAGGTTTACTATATCGTTTATAATACTAGTTTGATCATTGATCCAACTGCGCGAATTAGAGGCAACTTATCCTTCTTCTTCGCTTACGTTTACATACTATATTTTACATCTATAAACATAGTTAATTCAATCTAAGTTCATCGATCTCTAACTAGTTTTTCTTTCATATTTGCATGATAGAAAGTTCAAATCATTCGAAAGGATCAACGATTGTACGCATAAAAGCACAAATAGAGGAAATAATAATACAGTATCGTAACGGAGAGAGTATTTTCTTGTTCACGATCGATACGCTTTGCATATAACACTAACGACGAGCTTCAGTCAACTTCGAGTGGTGCAGTGTCTTATGAATTTCCGGCCGGAAATGGCTACTGTCCAAAGTACAGTAACCATTAAATACAGATTACGTTTGATAATTTAGGTCATATTATTGTTGAGCAAAATATAGGATTAGCAACAATCAAGAAGATGAATATACTACAAAGTTTTATACAATGGCCTATATATTTTTTTATATTTAAATTAATTCAAAATAATATGCATTAAAAAGAATAACAAATTAAAAAAAAGAGAAAATTTTTTTCTTTTGAGATACAAATTATAACTGTATTGCGCGTCGCAAATAAATAAATGTTGGAGAAAAAATTGTTAAATTCCGTGTGGCCAGCAATAGTTTTGCGAGTAAAACTGAAAAGAGGTGCAGAATTTCCGTTTGAAGCGCGAAACCTTTTGCGATTCGCATTGCATTCCACGGCATCAAAGAAGGCCACTCTCTCACCGCTTCGAAATAAAAGAGGAAAGAAAAATTCTCCGCGCCGCCACAGTTTAATACCAGACCGGTGGAAACGGAACGGCGTATAGTGAATCATAATGCGCTACGTGTTCCGTTACAATTCGATCCTACTCACGGTCGCGCGTAGAATACAAATTAAATAGCTGGTTCGTACTCATTAAAGGAGCGGCGAGAAATGTGCGTAAGGTCAAGGCGGAAACGAACATACTATATATACACATCAGATTTTCAACAACACAGTTTTCAATTTTCTGATATCAACTCGATCGATAATAACGCGCGTTTGCGTGTAATTCGCACGAGTCACATAACATTACACAAGGGACGTTAAAGAAGTTGCTAGTTTCGCAATTTGCCGAGTCACGTCGCAAAAGAAGCTTTCTCGCATCGGAAGATTGTAACGCCCACGAAAATGGAACGTGTTTCAGTTGAAAACGCTTTGCTTACAGAAGCGGTACACAAAGTCAACGAACGAGTGATTGCACTTTAAAAGTGTTTTACTACATATACGCGATGTCATCGACTACATAGTAGATATACTTCGCGCAATATTATTAAACATTGTTCAAAATGGATTGTATATGGTATATAATAAAATGGATTGTAATAGATGTAATATTTTAAACACACACACACGCGTATATATATATATATATATATATATATATTTTTATCTTTTGTGAAGAGTATAAAAGGAAGTGAGGCAAACAAAGAAAGATCGTTACAAGTTTCTCGATTCAATAAACTGAAAGCGGAAAGTTAAAAGCTTTGTATAGGATCTCGCCTGTAAAACAATAATAAAAAAGAAAGTATCAAAGATATATTTCATGAAAGTATAAAATATATATGTATTATATCGTGATCAAAATAGTTTAAGAGTATTAAATTTGAATGTGACGTTATCGATCTTGAATCGATCTTGCCGCCTTGATGATATTATTTCCAAAAAAATCCGCAAACACGTTGATTATGGAAACGCCCTTTATTTACAGCCACAATGTATTAAAGAATTGCACGCGTGGTATCCAACGAAGCTGGGAATCCAGAGAGAGATTCTCGGTCGAACCGAGTGCAGCATCATGGAACAGAAACCGGTCCAGTGCGCATAAGACTGCACAACAGCGAGACAGCCTCATTCCGAAGTCCCTTGAGAGATCTAAAGGAGGTGGTGGACGCACCATGACAATTTACCCGTGTGACTGACTTCCTCTCTTAAACCTTGAGACTTCTCAGCTAGAAACACGGAACAATAGAAAATCAAAGAAGCTTCTTAGAATATAAGAATATTCCACAACCTCCTCGTTCTCGAGTTCTTTCTCTGTCCCATCATCGAGGATGATGAGCTTTCCACAGAACAATACAAATGGCGCTGTTACGTCATACTGTTACTATAATTAACAGTAATAACGAAAAAAATTTTCATTTACAATTGCCGCGTTACATATTGCAAAGAAAAAAAACATGGAACATGTTTGATTTTTTTTTATGAATTTTTTATCGCTTATTTATTTAATCTTTCATAAAAATTTTACGACTATGTAATATGATTTTGCAGTGATCATTGTAATTTGAAATTATTTTTATTTGAAATTCCACGATACATATATTTCAAATAATATAAATAACTTTCTTATTTACGATTCTTAAAATTAAAATATATGCTTTTCGTGATTTGTCCTCCTTCCTTGATTTAAACTCGATATTTGTGTAATAAAATATATTAGTTATGATATCAATGAAATAAGAAATTCTTTTACGAAAAGATTATGATTCCATTGAAGATATCTACTATCTATAAAAAAAAAAAAATAGAAAAAAGAGAAAGAAGGGAAAAGAAAGAGGAGAAAAAAAAAAAGAGGGAAGAATGAGCGACGACTATCGCTCAAATAAGATCATCTTGAGCACGCGACTTGTCTTTTACACTTAAATTTCTAACTCGTGCAGCGTCAGCTGAAAGCAGCTTTCGCCTCAAGGGGGAATTGCATTTTATCAGATTTTCTTTTTTATGAGCAAGTTTCAGATTTATCCCTCGAGAAATATATCGTAATAAGACAATAATGAAAGCATCGCTTCCGCCGTTTTTCTTGTAACATTTAAATACAGTTTTTCTTTCAAATTTTTTGCTGTATTTAAAATGTTGTACGGAACGTTACATACCCGATAGAATAATTTTTATACGCGATTCGTTGCTTCGTTAATATTATCCACCGACGATTATTTCATTTGTCCTATCAAACAAAAAACAAGAGACGATTCTCCACAGAGTAGTTTCGAATATCCTACATATTTTTTTAGCGGTCGCTGCGGTTGAATCGCGTTTTTTCATCCTGTAATTTGTAATATAGATCTCCGCGTGTATATGGAAGAAGTTGTCACGGCGAAGAAAATGTTACACGATGAAGATATAAAAAGATAAAAGAAATAAAGGAAGAAAGAGCGAAGATGGAAAAAAAAACAAACGATAATGAATCGTGTCGGACGGAATCAATCGATTTTTTTTTTTTTGGCAAGAAACCGACTTGTGAAAAATCACGGATAAAAACCAAAATATTTTAACCGAGCAAAAATTCTTTCCAACGAATCCAATTTTCTTACAATGAAACAGATTTCTTTCGCCATTGTTCGAGATAAGGTACAATCAATAAATGATAATTTAAAAAGTAAGATTTTACAAATTTTATAAATATTAAAAAATTACATTTACTTTTCATTATAGCGATACTTATGTTGGAAATTTTTATTATAGAATTTCCTACATAAATAATTACAAATAAAAATAACTATAATGACCTCCTTCGGGGTCACGACCCACAGGTTGGAAATCTATGATATATATATATAGTATTCTATATTTCATTAATATATTTCATAAAGTTATCAGAAATTTACGCTCTCTTATCTTCTTCCATATTGATCCATCGCGAAAAGACGGGTGCTAAGAGTGTAATATAATCAATATTTCGAACTAAGAATTTAAACATTGATCAAACATCGCCACATTTCGTGTTAAAATTTCAAGAGTAGGGAGTACATACTTCTCCTCAGATTCCATTCAGAACATCGCGAATTGATATCACGGGTACAATGAAGGCTTAAAGATCGTTTGAATGGAGTGCAGATGGCTTCCGTGATCGTGAAACACCTGCCGTGTTCTTTTACAACAGACCGTGTATAAATTACTCCGAGTCTTAACGATTTTCTACGTTAGCAGATGTTTAACCACGTTAAGACAGATGTTAACTGCATTACCTTAGAATAAATTTAACGCGAAGCGATAAATCGTTTGGATAATAGTACGAACGATTCTAATACAATATCTTCGATAGATAGAATATATGTGAAGCATTTTAATCGGTTCTGAATATTCATCAAACGGGATTATTGATTAATGCTGTGCAGTAGAGACAAATACCAATTATATCTTTTAACTAAGATTAACGAATTTGGATATATAGGTTAGGTTTAAAAGCATAAAAGATCTATGAAAATTGCGATTATGAAAATTTCTTTCTGGAAGAAATTAGGATAATTTTTTTTTTAAGAAAGAATAAATATATGTTTTTCAGTGGAATTAACGAACTTACATACTTTTCGAGGAAGTTAATTAACCAAATGTTAACTAGGTGTTTTA